GGGGGGGGGGGGGGGGGGTCCATAAGATTGATTTAATCAATTATTTGAGGTTTCTGAGGTGCGTCCACCCCGTCACTTAACTTGCTAAAGCAAGAGCAACTCCAGCTAGCTAAGGCTAGCTTTCGTGATTAAGACCAATTGAATATGTAGCTCAAGGACATCCTCAAATTCTGTGAGCCCTGGGCCATCCTGGGCCCTAGTGGTCTAATATGCAGTTTGGCCAGCATGGTCATTGGGAGGACATTGGTTTCTTGTTGGCGTCGGCTTTGCAGTTTTGGTTGCCAAATGTCCTTCCCCTTGGTCGAAGTGGGATAATGTGGCTCATTGCTCTGATTGAGACGCTACCTTTCGTGACCTGAAATTGGCGTCTCCCATCAGGTTTCACCAACCCAACTCACCCAGCTCGCATACCGCGATGCCCGAGCCCTCCTTATATCTGATGCGCTCTCCATCAATCACCTCAGATGCCCAGCATCGGTCGATGCCCAGCATCGACTGCGGAACGCTTCGACACGCCGATCGATCTGCAAGGGTCCGGCCCATCGATCTGCATATCCATCGCCGCAGGTCCAAAGAATGATGTCTTGTCCATCCTGCAAAGACACCCACGGACACACCAATTGAGTGAGAAAAAAAGAAAAAAGGTCTTACTTGGTGAGCACCAAACTATTCAAACTGAAGGGGAACCAACTATAGTGACTTTTGTATTGCTCAGACCCTGCTCATCGCAAGGCGGTTCAAAGGGAGAATTTGTGCTTGCACTTTCGCCTGAGCGTTGCCTTCCCTCACCGAGAGGCAGTGATTGTTTGTTCCATGGTCGAGCCTTGGCTCGAATCAGCGAAGCGGGTGAAAACAAATACTAGTAGTAGCAATCTTACTGCTAGTAGTAATGCCCTAGCTACCCCTTGTTACTAGTAGCGATGCCCTTGTGCCAACAAAACCACAGCAGAATCAGCTGGTCCTGCAAAGGACCGAGGCAGGTGTGAGGCTTCCGAGTGCCACACACAATGTGCTCATGCGACACCATCCAACGGAAGCCATCCTCGCACTCAGAAGTTAGACTCATTGTGAAGTCCGAGGCATTCTCTCTGGCCACCTTTTATGGAAGCTCTTACAATGTCACCGGCCTTCTCCACCTTGTTTGACTGGTTTAAGAATTGGCTCACTTGCTCGAAAATGTTACTGCAGGACCAAAGGATGATGTCGGAGCCTGGCCACATTCGTCTCAGTAGCTTCAAGTCACTTTAGGCAGCTAGTGACGAGGAAATCTTCTTGGGCTGCGACCATCACCAACTTTGTTTTCTCGCACAGAGACCTCAATGGTGGGTTGGGTGGAGAGGGTGTTCAAGCATATGTTGACGTAATATTGTAATTGTTATATATATTGCTTCCCCAACAGCCCACTGTGCGCGTCGAGGGCAAAGCCAGTTTCATGTCAGAAGCAATGTGACTATGCCTTTTGCTCTCCTGCAATCTTGAAGTCCCCTGTTTATATTATGAACCTTCCCTTTGCATGGTTGCCAAAAGGAACTGAGATCTTCAACCTCTGCGGGGGTTTTGCGAAACAACCACCCAAAAGCCACAACACCAGAGTTTCTCCTTGCCCCAAAACGTCTTTAAAAAAGCAACATGATGATGCGTTAAATATGCGCAAGTTGCGCCTCGAAACGGGAACCTGCCCAAACACACCAAAATCTTGACCTTGGAACCTTCTTCAGTCACCTGCGAGGTCCAACTTCGAATGTTCCAAGTCAGGCGGCGCGAAGGTTTTGGGAAGGGAAAGAATGTTTCAAAGTTCTTTACTAACTGCTAACCAGTCCCAAAACGTATACTTAATGAAAAAGTGTATGAGTTGCATAAGGATATTCAGGGTTGGCATCTCTTTTGACAAAGATCATCACCAAAACTATTTGGTCTAGCAAACAGGCCGAGTTTCGTTGAGCTCGTCCATGTTCATCTCTGACTCTGTTTCAAACCTGCCTCCGACTGCAAAGGTGCATTCATCGTCAAGTTGCACATTTGCTTGGATCTGCTTTTGGTTTGATCCTGGCGGGTGAGGTCTCTTAGTTGGGATAGATTTCAGGCGTCAACATTGATCAAGTGTTGGTGGATGTTCATCGCCATTGGGACCAGTGGAACCTCCGCTGATGCCCTAGTGTTTTGCCTTCTCAAGGAAGCACGAAAGCAGTGCGCCTACAAAGCGTGTCTTTTTCGGTCCATGCAAAACTTCTTGCATGATGGGAAGTTCTCTGTGCAAGCGACGTTGGAAAGAATCGCAAGATTGCTCGGACACCCCAAATAAGGAATAGCCAGCACCACAAGTGGCCATCAAATGTAAAGAGGAAGGGGTTGATATAGCCAGACCTCAATCCGCTGTGCACAGAAATCGGCCAATTGAACAATTGAAGACTTTAGTACTTTCAGCATTCGACTGCGACTCCCTTCGACTCCTTTCGCATTTGTCTGGTTCCTCAAATGTGCAAAGAAGCTCCTGTCGTTTTGAAAAACAGGCAGTCACTGGGGCCCACCGGCCACAGGATCACGTTAGCACCATCTCCAATACGTCCCTGTCTCACCTGAAGAACACTTGACATGACTCGACTATGCTGAATGATGGGCTGAAGGTTGGCTCAACTGAACTCCTACTCCTGTGCTCTTGCGTGTTCCTCTTTCGTGCTCATGCTCCGTCACTCTGAAAGCCCCAAAACAAACATAGACCCTTCTCTATACTTCTCTCAAAATCCTAAGACCAAGGCAGGGTCAGGATGAGCATTCACTCCAAGAAAATAGTCAGGAGACTGGGCATCTGGCTGTCATGAAGTATCTTGGGTCTCTTTTGTACCTGGGAATGGATGGGATGAGGTTGAAAGGCTCATGAACCAAAAGAACACGAGGGGGAAAGGCTCGTCGAGCCTTGGTGGTTTGCACCCCTGTCTGCCGTGGACCACAGTAGAGACTTGAAGGTCGGCGTTTCAACTCTTAACAAGCAATGCTTGAGCGACTGAGTCTCCGCTTCAGGTTGATTGATTGAAACCAACCGGTTTGCTCAATCTTCAGCACCTGGATTTCGGTGCTTCCCTCCTCCTTCCTTGACGCTGGCTTGCCAGCTACAGTCAGTCCACTCCCTCTGTCCCGTCCGCCCGTCCGTCACGCGTCTGAGCTCCCGAGCACAATGGAGCTACCATCCACCTTCCACCGGAAGGCCTCGGTGGCGACCGATCCAAGGTGATGGCGAAAAAACCGCTAACAAGAAGCTACTAGGAGCAAAGAGCATCGCTACTCGGAGCAAGGACGCTACTAGGGTGAGTCATTTGGCCAATGACTCGTGAAACGAGGCAAGTCTGACTCGTCGGTTAGGCGGGACTTGACGTCCAAATGACCGCCTGTGGTGGCGTTTTCCTTTGTGGTCGTGCCTAGCTAAGGGCTCAAGCGATGCTGGTGTGTGCCTAATCCTGGCCTGATTAAGTCCTAAAGCCGCCTCAACTCAACAAGTTTCTTGCTCACCTATGCTCGCCTAACCAAATCAGCATCGGACTTTCGATCTATTAACGTGAAGCTTCCATAATCTCAAGCATACAGTCAATGAAGACTACAAATCATGTGTCCCCCAATTGGAAGAAATTGGGTGCTCTAATAGATGTCCCTCTATACAGTCTATACACTCAATTAAGCTCTTTATCTCCATCCCCTAGGCTTCCCACATGATCGCTGTTGCAGCTCCAAAGGATGACGTCCGAGCCTGAATGGCGACAAGTTCGTTCCGCTCGTTCCCTCCAGTGAACTTCGCAAAGCTTGGCCGCCGAACAACAAGCGTCCTGGTGGCTTTGAACATCAAGCTGTTCTCAAGTCGAGAAGCCCCAAATGGCCGTAATATGTGACTACAATGACTACAACAGTCACCCATGGCGATCCATTAGCAGCTTCCATCTGGCATTGTGGCTGTGGAAGGTCCTCGAAGGTCCTGCTAATTACTGCTAATTATAGATGTCAAATGAGCACAGGAAGAAACAGTAAAGCGTTGCAACAACGTTGCATCACACCTCGCAAAGTCTGCTGAGTCTGTCAAGCGAGGAAAACTCTTCTTCGCTTCATCACCACCTCACCAGCCTAGCCATCCTGGGTTGCCCCGCCATCACCCGCCTTGCCCTCACGTACACCCATGCCTTGCCAACCAGGCTGTGAAGCTCTATGGGCCCAAGCAAGGTTGATTGTAGAACTGGTTTGAAGCATGATACACCACCAGGACAAAAGTTCTTCTTGAAAGTTCAAGATTACTGTACAAGACCTTGCCTCTTGCAGATCCTACGGAACCCTGTCAAACATGTTTTTCTCATTCTGCTGTAAACCAGTGGTCGAGCAAGTTGGCAGAGTAGAGCCAAACTCAGTCAAGTTCACGAAGTCCAAAAGAATGCAACTCTGCGGGGTCCATGTTTGCCCTGCCAAATAAATTTTGACTAAAGTACAAGCGGGCTTGAACATCCCGCACTTGTGTGGGAAAAAAAAAACGTAATACAATATATTCAGACTAGTTGACACATTGTGAACCCATTGTATCGGTGTAGCAGGTGTTCTGTGTCCCCGGCAGTAGTTGGGATTCGATACCAACCTAGACTTCGGAGCTTGGAAATCGTTACAACCTGCTAGCGATGGCCTCCAACCTAGTAGCTTCTACTACTAGTAGTAACGGCCTCCAACCTAATAGCGATGGCCTCCAACCTACTAGCTTTCTCTTTCTTGGCTGTAGAAACGCTTGCATTATCAATTGTCTCTTGATAAGCATGATGTCACTGGTCAACATTACGTAACAGTTCACGATTGCTGAGTTAGTCTTGGATTAGCTGACTTAGCCCTGTATTTCGACGCAGTCCGCAAAGTTGCTGGTCAAAGGCTTTGGGGAGGGGCCCTGGGGCCCTGGGGCTCTGGCTTGATTTGATTGCCTTCCACTGTCCATTTGAACTCGTGGGTATCCCGACAATGCCTCAGCAAAATGCGGCCCAGAAGACTGGATTCGTGCACTCCCCATGCGCTCTGTGTGCTTGTGTCTCTAAACACATCCTTGACACCGAGAAAGGCAACAATCCATCCCAAAACCGGCCATGTGTGACTTTCTGATCTTGGCTATCCACCACATGATGATATCGGCACCATCAGTCACCTAGCGCTCTAAACATTCCAACCCCAAGTGGTTGTAGAGCGCTCAAATCGGAGGAAAAACAATTCGCGGGTCTGATGGTCAACGCCGAATGAACATGGTGTAGTCTGTTGATTGAAAGTGTTGGAGAAAAGTTTGACTCTCAATGACTCTCAATGCTTTTCCCAAAACGAGACCTGCCTCCCCCTGTCGGACGCTAGCACAGTACTTGTCATCTAACCTTAGTTTCCGCGGGCTTGCTGCACCTCCAAAAATGTCATGTGGTCCCAAAACTGAGTAAGCTTAGACTGTTTAATCTTTGAAGCCGGAAACAAAGCCTTGTTCGGCCATCGCAGTCGTCAGTTACCCTTGTAACACGGCAAGCATGGATGCTGCCACTTCGTCTTGAGATGGAAATGGGTGGCACTACCAAGCGTCTTGCACCTGGTACACTGCCACCTCACGTCCGGGTATACATGCTGTTGTTTGGAGTTTGGTCATTGCCCGTGAACTAAGAGCCTCTAAGTGAGTGAGCAGCTGCGAAGGCTCAGGCATTGGCCCTTTCTACCAATTGACCTTTCGTGGCCCTCTTTCCCCCTTGGCATCTATATATTGAAGCTTGCTAGCGCTGACGTCACAGTAGGATCCCAGACAAGGCTTGGACAAGGCGGAGAAAACAGGGCACACAGCGCGGCCACAGGAAACACGGACCCGGACAGTGCTTTAATGAAAAGTGACCACCAACTCCGAAAATGCACAGGGACCACAACGAGAAGCACCCACTCCAGCCCACTAGTTTGCGTGAGCCTGCACAGTCGAAATGCACTTCGAATCTCGAGAGGCATGAATGTGCTGTAACAGGCAGTGAAATAGCCGCGCAAGCAAGTGAGCACCCTTGATCAAACCCGGCCTTGACCAAACCGGTAAGAACCCCTAGTGTGACCACACTGTTTGGGGAATAACCTTTCAAGACGCGCTTCAACAAATCCATCGAAACACCGAAGCTGCCGGTAGAGAGAGATCTGAGGCTGCCACGCGGACTTCAAGAAAGATCCCTGGATGAGCCAAGTGTTCCTCGATGCTAATTGGCCCCGAGAACATTGGATTTAGCCGGGGCGAACAGGTTAACAGTTGACCACTTCCCTGTTTACCCTGGCATACTTCCGTGTTCGCCGTATCCACTTCTACAACTTATATATAACTAACTTATAACTATGCATAACTCATCTGTCTATTTGTCTTGATGCTGGGGTTGGCACTCACTGGCCATGGCCTGCTGCCTGCCGTTGAAAAACGGGCCAGACTGCAGGGAGTCCCAGGACTGCCGCTACGGGAGTCCCACTACTTCTGTCATCAGCTATTAGTTCAAATCATGTGGTATGTGTTGGAAGAATAGAGAGATTCCCAACGAATCTCATTTGAGTCGACTTGTCCTTTTACCAGGAGGTCCAACTGGGAACCTCCCTACACGCCGAGACACGCCGAGACACCCCTGTATAGTGTTTGGATCCGCCTCTGATCAGCGCTGACCGGCAGTCCCAGAGGTTCCATGGCCTGGCCATGGCCACCAGTTTTTTGAAGATGAAAATATGCAAAGCTCTGAGACTTCGACAAACAAAACTCAATAAATCTGAACAATGCATGAACATGTCTCAACCCACTGGACCAAAGATCCACAAAGATCTGGCACCCCATGTTCCTTTTTGACGGATCCTCGGTGAACATCCTCGGTCATCGTTGCCTTGCAGGACCAAAGCATTGCTTTGGCTTGGTCCCTGCGTCCACTCGCTTCACCTTGGCACTTCTTAAGCTTCATCCGCAAACTCTTAAACGTACGAAAGCACAATGATATCGTGGTATATCCTGACATGTCGTCACATGCTAAGTGATTCGGTGTCAGAACATTAGTTGGGGCTGAAAGAACGCACCTTCTTCACAAGGTGCTGACTGATATGAATCTGATTGGTGTGGAAGCTTGCTGGTCAGCTGAGTGCTCTGCGAGTAGAAAGGCAGTAGTCCTGAAATATCAAGCTACTTGGCTACTGAAATTGTTGCCTGTGCATGCAATTGGCAATAGATTCACTAAATCCCGAGCGTTGCATCAAACCCTTGCACCACGGCTACTTCTCTACGGTCGCCCTGAAACACTCACCTTCTGGTTCAAGTATGCCTGATTTAAGCTTCCTTGGATGGTTCTTCCAAACCGACCAATCTTTCCACTAATCGGAATCGCGCCTGGTTCGCCGCATGCTGGATGTAAGAACCGGACACCTGTTCCAAGCAATATGTTGAAAATGAGCAACGTTCCTTTTCAGTCACAAAAAGATGCAAAAAGCCATGTGTCCAAGCTTCTAAAAGACTGACGGAAGGAAAAGGCCCAACAGACCTCCCAATGGAACTCCGGGCTGTCATTGCATGTCCAGAGAATGATGTCCTGTCCATCCTCAGCTCTGCAAAGCATGGCATCTTGAAGCATGACAGCTGAAGCATGCTGAAGCCTCATGGGTGATTCCTTGGTCCATCTTGGTTCTTGCCACTGGTAGTGGTCACCTTTCAGAGAAATCCTTCCGCATGTCGCGCTCCCACTCTCGTCGAACGGTCTACCGCCCCTCGGGTGGCCCAGCCATGATGCGCCCCTCGCGGATGGAGAGGCACAACCTCCAACAGCAGGGGCTCAAGCCCCGTTCTACAAGATCAAGTCATGAAAAGGTTGTTTAAAGTTGGTTTTGTTGTCAGGCCATCTACTGTTAAAATCTACCCTGTAAGTATTGGTTCGATCTACCGTTCACATCCATTCAATTGAAATAGCAAGCCAAGCAGAGCTTTCTCGCGCCTTGGGTCAGAGTCCCATTTGATGAACTTGCCATCTCTGACCCATCGGCTCATAATCGTCTTGGCCAAGCAAAACGACAATGGCTACAAACCTCTTCCCACTTGCACTAGGGGGAAGCCAGTCTTCGTGAGAAACTGGTGCCAACCTCCAGTCACTTTACCATTTGCAATGCCCTATGGTGGTCCCTCCGGAAGACCCGCCTACCTCACATGCACATTCTGCGTTTCCGCCAAGGGTCCATGATCCCACAGCGGGAGACGATCACGTTGGTGCCGTCACCCGGTTTGTGACCTATGAGGTGTGCAAGTCAGTGCATCGTGTGGTACCAGCAAAGCCGGGCTTCCCACTTAATCCCAGGCACATGGACTGGTCTGAACTCATCTTGATTGCTTTGCCTTCAAGCTGGCAAAATGTCGACGTCTTGGAAAGTGCTCATCTCACTCGCATTCAACCCCTGCATTTTACGACTTTGCCACATGCCGTCTGAGGCACCAACCATCAAAGATCCATTTGTCGTGCATGGAAGCCTCAAAATACTGAAACTGCAGTTATAGCGCACACACCCCGGTACACCTTAGAGCCTAGCAATATCCAACCATCCATCATTCGCATGGCAATGCGGTGCTAAAATCTGGGATTCCCCACAGCTTCCCAAAGGATCACATCCGCTCCGTCCATGGCATTGTCTTGCCGTCTTAGCCACCCGCAGTGAGTATTCAGAGTGGCACCCACTTTCGAGCGTGGCCACCACGATCAACCGGATCGGCCGCAAAAGTATCCCAACAATTCTGGCTAAGTGCATACAAATTCAAATCCATTCCATTGCGGAAGAGATCCTCTGCAAATGATGCAGGCCTGTCACACATTGATAGTCTGGGGGCAGCACACACTCATGACGAAGTGTGGCTTTGCTTTGTACTTGATGAATTCACCATCTACGTCCTGTCAAAAGAAGCTATGGAAAGCACACAGAAACCCACTTTGCTGAAACTGGTACTGCACGCAGCCACAGAATGCCCTTGTGGCATGCAAACATTATTAGAACACTGTATGGTGTGTCAACATGCGGTCAATGACCGGGCTTTTGTGGATGCAAACGATGCCAGATTTACCCAGTGAAAGGCAGGGGCATCATCGCATTTCCACAGAATGATGTCAGATCCATCTCCAGCCTTAGAATTTGATTGGCTCAAAAGCAGAGGTCCGTGCCTTCAAATCACATCAGGTTAGGCTCGAAACAGGTGGTTGTGGTCAAGTGTCCAACTGCTCGGTGCTTCAATGAAATCATGGACAAATACACTATAAACATCTATCAACTATGATCGGATATGTGGTTTTTAATCTGTAGTCAAGAGGTTCCCTTCCTGTCTTTCCCGAGCATCAGACCTTTCCTTCCCGAACACTGAGGCAGTAGGACGGATCAGCCTGAGGCACGGATCCGTCTGTCTGCTGGAAGCAATACATCCAAAAAGCACCCGACATTGAGATCTTCCTTTGCCAATGGAAATTCAGCAGAATTACAAAAGTACCTCTGTGTGTCTACAATCTATATATATATATACACATAGACACAGACATGAAATGCAGTCGAGAACAATAAGAAGTAAAGCTCATCCGTGCCTCATACTGGATGTACTTCCCACTCACCTACTGGTGCAGCTCTTGAAAACAAACACTCTAGACTCTAAGTAGGATCCTGAACGCAAATGAATGCAGTAAGAAGAATCTTTCGATTTGAAGCGTGAGGGCGCGGCTTTGAACTTGTGTTGTGCCTTCTTGGTCTTGGCGCAAATCAGCGTATGTCAGCGTCTACGCCATGTTCTTCCATTTAGACTTCGCTGAGGCTCCCACACAATGCCACAAGATGATGTCCACACCTTGGAGATGGCTCTTGTGATGAAGGCCCTTCATCTCAATGCAGATGCTCCCTGCATCCACAAGATTCCTTCATTTGTGCTGCCAAGCATCCGTTTTTCACTATTCCTTCGCGCCTTTGCAGAAGAATGATGCAATCAATACACGAGGCCTTCGCAAGGACCCTCTCAGGACAGGACAAGCCAGCACAGTACTGTGGACTCTGCTTGTACTTGAGGTATCCATTCTTGATGATCCAACGCCTAGGCGCCAGACGATCACAATCAACTGTACACTGTGAGAACCTGATCTTTCGTAGTCGAGTCGAGTCAGTGAAATGTTACTTTGTTTTTATTAGCTTCTTTGTTACTACTAGTAAGGCACCTGTTACTACTAGCGTGGCACTTGTTTCTATTAGCTTCTTT